GAATTATAGAATTAAGTCAAAAATTATGATAGCAAGAAAAAACGTAGAACTTTCACAACCGTACCAAAAAAATCGAATCGACATGTTAAATTCATCATTATTCGCAATCACCGAGTAATCTATAACAAAAAGTCAATACAAACTATATATATTTACTTATTTTAATTGAGAACCTTTTATCTAAATTTAGTTAATGAAATCGGAGTCCATAGTCATTAATAAGTTTTCACAAAAATTCAATCTCACCAGCGAAGTTTACCATTGAAAATTAAAAAAAAATAGAAGATAAAGTAAATAAGTCATTATATATTAAATTTTTTCATTTTATTACATGATTTTCCTTTTTTCTTAAGCTTCCATCTATTTTGATACACTTTTAATGCATTAATGTTTTTGTAAAGATTTTTCGAAAAAAAATGAGCATATACTTCATATTAAATCGTGATAGCTTCTCGTCTATGAGTAAATTGATAAAGTGAAAATTCATCTGAGTACTCGTTAGAGTACACAAATGAAGTTAAACATTTTAAAATATCATCATATAGATAATGAACGTTTGTTAATAAGGAAACTATGTTTTATAGAAAAACAACGTCAAGTACTTGAAGTAGGTCTAATTTTCAAAACAATTCTTTTTTACTACAAAAAGATTATTTTTGTCTAGTTCGAGTTTTACTTATGAGAGACTATTGATAGCTATGATCATTATTCTAGAAACGAAAAACGAACCAACCATTAATAAAAAAAAGATTTACTCAAAAATCAGTTCTTAATTTTGAATGATTAAGACTTATATAATTCTTTTACTGTCAATCATACAAAGGAGACAAAGTAGTTGAACGATGGTTGAGTAAACACTGCTATTTCATTGATTCGTAAGTTGAGTGTAGGCGTGGGTATGGTTGTTCTCGTAGCATACACTTACACCCACACCCATATCAACATCCACTCTTACATCTTACATTTTTCGGAAGAAGCCAAAATATTGTTGTAATGTCTAAATGATTAAAGTTGACCAAGAACATGAATATAAAACAAAATCCTCATTTTGTTTCCAATTTAGACGATGGAGGAGACCAGATAGACTACTAAAAAGCTTACATACGTTACACGAGAAAATATGTTTAACTTTCAATAACATTAGTTGATCCACTGATAGTTGATATTTCGAAATGTAGTGTCTCATATTTAAGCTGAAAATAAATCTTTTCCGAGATATATGAACAGACAGAACAATAGGTCAGCTAAAGTTATTAAAAGTTCAGCTTACTCTTTCTAATGCTGGATGCATTAAATTTTTATTAATCTTTCTAACATCGAACTATTAATTTTTCAGACTTTAGCTTTAATCTTTCTCTACAAAGCATAAATAAAGTCAATTTACAGAAAGGAGTCGAAACTTTTCGACTACTCTTTAGTATATCAGCTGACTGATATAATAATTTGTTGATCAGCGGTATAAATTTCTTCGTTGATAAAGATTCATATTGATAAGGATACTTTGTTACAAATTAAAAAAAACAACTTCTACTTTATATCTGCTTCGTAATGGAAGCTAGCATTATTTTAGTATATTTATAAAATTCATTTTTGGCATCAATCGTATTTCCAACAACATTTTTTCAATTAACTCTGGTAACTCTTTCTAACTTTCTTTGTTCCCTAGTCGTAGTACATTCATGAAGCCAAAGAAGTCCTTGCAGAAACTGAGACATTTTATGAAAGCATTAGCTTTTCAAACAAAAAAAAAACTTGATTATATTTCTTACTGAAATACAATATCACTGAAGATCTGTCATCGAATAACTATTGTAACAAAACCAACCCAATAGTGAGTTGAACTTAATATTATGCAAAACTTAAACATCAGCTCTCTCGTTATCAATAAAAAAATTTCGATTCAGGGCGAGAGAAATTAAAATATTCAAGGTCTCAATTGGTTTCATTTTTCTTCGGAACTATCGGGCTCTACCAATCATTTATTTATAGATTGATATTTCACATAGAATCTGTTGCTGATTTATGTGAGGGACGACTTTTCTTAGAACTATTGAAATGATTGTAGTTTTTACTTCGTCATGAATAAGCATTGTTAGAAGAAGAAAAAACAAATGTAATAATGATACGATAGCAAATTAAGTTAGTTTCTTTTTTTCATCACCTTGCAAATTAATAAAAGGTACTCACCGAATAGTATCGATTGAATTATCATCTAGGGTATTTTTTTTCTTTGTCTGCCAATGTCAAGATATCTTCATATCTGTTGTGATAATGATGATTATGAAAGAAATCTTCGTGCTGTTCGCTATATCTAGTGACCTTGCTCAGAGGTAGACGAATAAATAGATTACGCGTCAAAGCTTAACCAGTCATATGATTCGTAAATTGTTATTTCACAATAAATGAATATATTGAAATTGTAAATTCTGTTTTATGAGCTTTTTTTGTTCGATCTCCAGTAACAGAGTGCTTTAAGGTGTCATGAGTCCTTATCTCTTTAGCATAATTGACTATATCGACTATTTTAAATTGATAAAAAATTTATTTTAATAACCCAAGCTTCATTTACATGTTGAAACGTATGTTTTCTCAAAAACAAAGACAAAAAAGCTTCTTCTTTCTCTAAATCTGGCTATTTCATGAATACACACATTTTTTAAATTATACCTAAAATCCACAGATCTCAATGTTTTAGCATGAAGAACTACGATACATTTAGTATTAGCGTTCTCAGTACTTTAAAAGCAGACAGCATTAGTTTTCAACGATCAGCATAGAATTCAACGTTTGATATAAGTTCAGTGACAACCACCTAACAAATGTCATCAAAGCAAATGAAAAGTATCCTGGAATCCTTATTTTTGGCAACCTCCTTACAAAGTCCTTATGAAAATGCTAGAACTGATAATAAAAACTATGACTAAAATCTCTAGATTTTCCAATTGATAGGTAACCTACTATTAGTATTAGACTTCTCAACATTTTTAAGGATGCTAACTCCTGTAATAGCCTTCTTACTTCTTCAGAAAGAGCTTTCCATAATTTAGAAATATCCAGATAGAATCTTCTCAGTTTTTCTTTCAACGATTTAAGCTTCCATAAGATTAGCATTATTCGTCTCAGCATTTCAGAAATGCTTCTTCCTGAAAAAAACTCTTTCCAGGAATCTCAAAGGAAACTAGGAAAGGTTTCTCAATTTATGTCTGTTGGGAGGGGGGAGGTGGCGGTGAGTTGAATATAGATGTTGCTCACACCCACAGCCAACTCATTTGAATTCTCAGATTTCATCTATTTCCAAAGAATGTTGAAGTATTAGTGAGAATGGTCCTAAATCTTTTTTTCATCGTCTAGTTCTGTTCATTGATATCTGTTGAATAATAATGACCTGGATAATTCATTCTCATAGGTGGCGCAAGCTCAATTTTTTAGGGGAAGCAATAAACCTTAGAATGAGACAGAGGTTCGAACCGGTTGAGATTGCCAGACCAGCCAGTCAGTACCTGTTTTAAAATTCTTTTTTAGGATGCTATTTTGCTTTGATAAAATGTGTCGACACCAAGTTTAAACGCATTTATCAAAATAGTCAAACAGTATTGTTTCAGAAATTATCAGTTTCATCTTTTTCTACTTATCTATACTTTTTGTTTCTTTCATTGACCTATGTTTCGCTTCATGAAAAGCACAATTAAAACTGTGTTACTTGAAATTAATTTCTGAACTTATGTCGTTGATGTTTTGTTGGAGACTCAATTTCAGTTTGAATCCTCGTTCTCAAAGGAACACAAGGTTTTTTAGTAAAATTTGAGTGAAAACGTCAAAAACTGCAGTTTATAAATCCGTTGGTGTTTAAATTGTCGACTTTTCCCCCTAAAGAAACGTCACAAATTCATCTTGAGAAATCTTAAAAACATGAACGACTATGACATGATATTTTCTCTTAAGTGGTTTTAAACATACGAGTAGAAAAAGGAAACTGAGTGGTTTTTAAAGCTACTTCCTTCAACCGATTAAAAGTGATCTGACAAGTCGACCGGTTCCAACTGTGGAATAGGACTATATTCCCCCTCTGAGCCATAGTTGAAAGCTCGACAGTAAGTTTTTTTTGTGAAATTAATTTCTCGAAGACATAGTAGCGGCAGCCTGTGTATTAATTTATTTGACAGCATATTAAGAGTTTGAGGGTAGTGTAACGTTTTTTTATTGAGGACAGATGTATTCAGAGCGAGTGAGCAAAACTCAAGTTTTTTTTGTTATTACTTTCCGCTCAGGAATCATTGGATTTTCGAGTTCATACTCATCTGAAAGATTGTCTGCCATTTATCAGCTATTCCTTCTTGGTGAAATTATAAACAGAAAAATCGATTGAGAATATTTCAGTCTTCTCATTAAAACTGTTTAATTAATTATTTATGTTAGCAGCTAGTTGATCTTCTTTCTGAGTACGTTCTTATACGATGATCATGGATGAAAGCAGAAAGAAGTACAAATTTAAGTTACTTGATAATCAAAAGTTCAGAAAACATGGAGAAATAACATATACGGATGAAACATGAACAATTAGGGAAAGCAATTGCTAACTCGTTGCTTGCTGGGGCGCCGCCTATGTTCATTATCATATTCTTTTGTTAATATTGTATCATATTAGTCGAGATTCTTTCAATTTTGAAGCTTATAACTTATTTTACAGCACATCTCGTTATGTGTCCTACGATTGACTGTTTGTCCCGTGTTATACATTGTTGCATATTTTGTTGATTCTCATGAAACAAATGCACTGACTTTTTGAGTTTATGTCATTAGCCTCTTTTTTTGTCAAGAAAATAATTGCTTCTTCTTGTTCCTATTGAGATTTCAATAGAAAAAGATCATGGAATCATTCATCTAATAAAAACAAATATACAGTAGTGGCCAAAAGTCCCGCCCCTAGTCTAACTACACCAAAAGAAGAGATAAGAGGAAAACTTTTTTATTATGTCATAGCTTATAGTACAATATGATCATCAATGTAATACAAAGTCTCCATCATTTTCAATAACTTCAGAAATTCGATTGTTCATACTATGTACAAGTTTAATAGCCAATGCTGGTGATAAGGACTTCCATTCTCGTCTTATTGCCGAAACTAAAGATTGATAAGTTGGTAGTTTTTTCTTTCTTAATTTCATTTTGAGAAGTTGCCAAACATTTTCTATGGGTGCAATATCGGGAGACATTGACGGCCAATCAATTTTGGGGACATTATTATTGATTCTCCAATTGGTTGCCAGTTTTGATGTGTGTTTGGGGTCATTATCTTCCTGTAATTTCCACAACGTTGAATCATAACCAAATTGTTTCCGTGCTGTAGGTAAGAGGCCATACTTGTAAATATGACACATTAAATCCGCATTTAGGTTCTCCTTGAAACATACGACGCGACCAAAACCTCGAGCTGAAAAGCAACCCCAAACATTGACCTTGATAGGATGCTTGACAGTTCGCACAACCTTCTTTTTTCCAGGCAAGTTCCAAACCAGTCCTTTGACAGAATTCATACGAATGGTGGTCTCGTCAGAAAAGATCACTTGGTTCCAATCCGTAGTTCTCTGATCTTCAGCCCATTTTAAACGTTTCTCTCGGTGGTTTTCGGTGAGTAGTGGCTTTGACAAAGGTTGATTATATTTCGCTCCCGCTTCGTTCAAGCGTCGTCGTACCGTTCTCTGGCTGATCTCGACTCCCTTTTTGTTCAACTGGTTCGTGATGTCTTGACTTGTGACGAACGTTTGTTGTTCAGCAAGTGCAACAATTTTTTGATCCTGTTTTGGAGTTGTTACACGTGATCGTCCAGATCGAGCTGCATCGGTCAAATCTTTTGATTGCTTCCACCGCTTGAGCCAACGTTTCACCGTCTTTTCGTCACAATGAACTGCCTTCGCTACAGCCATATGGCTGAGCTTCGGTCCCAGCGGATGTTGAGATAAAAAGACAATTTCATACCGCTGGTACACTTGTAAGGCCATATTTGAATGTTATGTTATAGTTAATGATTAATAACAATGTAGGAGAAATTAAGAGTGGTTCCGATCAGGAGGTGATTAGTACTGTATATTTATATAAAATTTATGGAAGGTTCTAGAATTTCTAGAAAATTCTACTAGGGGCGGGACTTTTGGCCACTACTGTATATTGACTTTTTTGAAACCCTCCTTCGGTTATTGTAAGATCGTCTATGCTTTCTTTGATATCTGCAAATTCATATCTTTTCTACATGTCGCTTTTACGATTATTATTTGTATTATGATATGTATAACAGTATGACACTTTGTTCTTAAAAAAAAACAATTTTTATAAACCGTCTGACAGATATCAAGTTTTAAACTGAAGAATGTAGAATGTAATTAACAATAATATTTTTTTCCACATAAACTACGACGTATTACTCTCGCTAAAAACATATAGTCAAATTCCTTTCTAATAGAAACTGTAAGTTTTAATGATATGTTATTTTCTTTAGTGAAAATGAATCTTTCGTTTCAACTACAGTAGAAACGAAGTTTTTTCAGGATTATTTTAACTTTCTGTTGCTCTTATCTCCTGTGTAGAATCGGTCTGAAATTTAATTTTGTTTTGAAGTTTAATCATATGTCATTTACATTAAGCTCAAATATTATATCACAATTATATAGCGATCAACTAGCAAAGATATAACTATGTATTGATTGATGATTTTCTCATTAAAATATGCAGTTCAATTTAATTTTTTATTTCGATAATAAAAATAAATATTAATGTGACTGTGAATAACTAAAAACTTCACACATTATTGATGTACGATTTAGATCACATAAATAGATATTAGTGAATGAAGTCAGCCGTAGACATGCTTTATGAAAGCTTGAAGCATTACTCCAATTCACAGTTCACGTAAAGAAAGTCACTAACATTAAAGAATTTCGAAAATTTTCATGACTGTTTTTTTCCCCCAAGATTCAGATATTGATGATGTAATTGATATAAGTAAAAAACTTATGCAAAGGTGAAGATCAACCTAATGAACTGAAAAAAAAAAATTAACTTTTGATAATTTCTCAGTTTTTCAAGTTACAACTCGTCATCTCTTGCTTTCGTATTTATTTGTATGCAACCAACTAAAAAACACAAAAACATCACTAAATCAAGTCATGGAAAGCATTTATTGAGTTAATGTCTATTTAGATTTAATAACTATTTCACTCTGTTCACATGTGTTCGATTTTCTTTGAATGAACTGTCAATTGAAGCGATACTTTAAACGATCGTAAAACATATCTATGGTTGATTTTAACCACTAATATTAATTAACATTTTTAGTCATTCAAAGTAAAAGACAAATTTATCTACATTATCGAAATAATGTAGTTATTTCTAACTATATATCTTAATGAGAAAATCATTCAACAAATAGATTGCTATTTGTTCCCTAGTTGAACAGAATTAACTTTTAATATAACGACTATATTAATCGTTTCTCATTGACATTTAGATAATTAGTTTGTGATATAATTGATTTGTTTTTTTTTGATCGACTGAAGTTTCAACAAACTTCTCTTAAACTATTTATCATTTCATGTAGAAAGACAATGAATCACTAATTACTTATGTTTTGAGTTTTCTCATGAGAAACAGACAAAACTAATTAGTATGTATACATTGTTCATCCAGCTGAATGTGCCATATACGAAGAAGGTCATCTAATCTATTCGGTCCGTATATGGATATATAGATGTGCCCAATCTATCAAAGTAAAAAAGCAGATTACAATGTACGTACATACTACTGAAAAAAAAGATAACAAAAACAAAATATCAACCGAAAGATACATGTTTTGAAATAAATGACTTTGAATCATTTTCTCGATTACGAAAATTCAATTAGAATTATTTTTGAGAATTNTTTCGTAGATCGAAAGAGAACAATTTTTTCTATCAAAAACGTAAATTAACAATCGAGCAAAGTTGAGAAACAGCTCCAGAATACCGTGCTCAACATTTCCATCTAGAATGCATCTGATTGGTCCATTGCTGACCAATTATATTTTAGCATGTGTGCATGCCCCTGGGTGTTTTCTTTCTAATGGTGAAAACCGCAGGTCGCTAGCTACATCTGTTCAGGAGATATTCCTCCTTGAGTTTTCTCCATCTACTTCTGGCGCCGACATTAGTAAGGGAACTTTTTCAATGGAACAGTCATATTCTCATTCAAAGCTTCTATTGTAGCTTATCAATCATATGGACTTCGAATATTATCATGAGATATGAACTTCAGATCTTTATATATTGGTTTTATTGAAAACTGATATTTTAGACTCACAAAAATTTCGCCAAAATTATTTTTCATCTATCAAGATTATAGAATATACCACATTACCTAGAGTACAGAAAATTCTTCTCTTTCAAATCGTTTTTTTGTTTAACATAAAAAGAAATCGACAAAATATCAAATATGTTAAACCTTTGTCTACTAGAAAAAGAGTCAAGGTTCTCTTTTTTTTTTACGCTACAATCAATTAAATAAAGAATAAATTGTTTGTATAGATCTAGACTCTAATTTAGTATGTCACTCAAAACAATTATGTTTAGTACCTTCTTTGTTTTCATAGAAAATACCGAGATAAACATTGTCTTAAACTTTTGCAGCCAACTTTAGGTATTTGATACATCTAACAATGTCTATTACTGCTCTATCCATTTTTATTTCTATTTCGGATAGGTTCGTTTGTGAATGCTATGTTCGAACGACAGTTTTTGAGACACTAATGGATTGTTTCCACTTATGAGCGTAAGAAAACAGCTTTTGACACAATGAAGAGCCTGCTACATAAGTAAAGTTATTCATGTAACGGTATTTTTGTGAACTGTTCGATTTATCAGGGTCCTGAGACCGTCTCCGAAGAGATGAGTTACGAAAGTATCAACACATTTTATTATATTTGCCTGATAAATTATGAAGATGTAAGGATTTAAGAAAACACCTTGTAGAAGTCTGACTTGTGTCCTAAAAGCTCTTGAATTTGTGTTTTCAAAGACAATAAGCACTTTTCTACTCATTCGTCAGGTAACGAGTACTTTAAATAATTGTAGAGGTATTGAATTCTGAAGAATTTGACAATTAGTTTCGTATATCACACTAGATCATATTCTTTCTTACAATTCACATATATTCCTAATGTGTATATATTCCCAACTAGACTATTTTTAGCTTTTGATAGATAGATCGATAGAACTCTTTTTTTTCTTTAGTGAGTAGCCTTAATGAAAGTCTGACTGTTCAGAACAGATGATTTTGTTAGAATCTACTAATTCTATAACTCTGTCAAGTTGGTTTTTAAATGAGTCGCTTGGAAAGTAATGACCCTGTTCTGTTGACAGGTAGACACTCTAGTTTTCAGTTTTCTCAAAGTAATAATTTTAGCTATTTTCCAATTTTCCAACTATTTATTGAAGCATTTAATTATGGACTCTTAAATTGGACTTTTTTCTCCTGAAATGTTACTGGGTCTTATTTTCTTATTACACGAAGATAGTTTCATTGAGATCTGGTTGCAGTCTGCAATGAATTGAGAGTCGTTTGAATTCGCATGATTTACCGTGGCTTGAGAGAACAAGTCTCTTTAATGGTTAAGTCTATAAATGCGTGAAAGATACTTCCAAACAACAGTACTTGATTTATCGTGGTTCTTCTGAGTTGATGAGAAAAGTGACTCCGTCAACTAGATTTGTATTTGTCTAGTGCTTTTCTGATCTCTCTCAACTTATAGCAAAGACAAATTCTATATTCCTCATGTCAGGTTCGGTAGTACCGGTTCTTAATTTGGCTTATTTTTTCCTACTTTAAAAGTATCTCAAGTGAAAGTTTATGTTCCCATTTTCTTTATCATTCTAATTCGTGAGGCGGCCTTCCAGAGTGAAAGGGGGACTGATATAATTCTTACAGCCTTCTAATGATAACTTGAATTCTGTTTGTTTCAACCAATATTCCTAGAGTAGTCAAACAAATAATTCATATACTTTTCCTCGTGTTATCGCGAATTTATATACTATTTCGAGACAAATAAATTCGCATTTGTAGATTAATGATTAGCGATCGATTGAACCAAATTCAATAGTTTCTCCTATAATGACTGAGAATTTAGATAAAGTAAGATCTATTTTACTAGAAGATCTTGAAAAGAGTTTTTGGTATATTGCATATACTGTAGATTATTAACACAACTATTGTGTTAGAGTCGTCTGAAATTATTATGTCTACTGTTGATGAAGGGAAGGATTCCATTCCTGTCACGTCAATAGTAGTCTGGCCAGTATATATCCATTCCTCTCAGAAGTTCATCAAGACTGAATGTTGCGAGCATTTATATGATAGCCACGTTAGTCTCGACTTTTGATGCTTTTAAATGTTTTCCTACACTTATTATTATTGCTTAATTTTAATTTCTATTCGATTCGTAAAATATATTAAAGTTTGGTATTCATTGTTTATGCCATTGTTCTTCTATTTCCGTGCACATGAAAAATGATCTATGAAATTTGTTAATTAGTTCAAAAACTTCTAATCTTCTCGAGTTCAGTTCCTATACGTTGTAAAGGATGAAGATAAGAAGAGCTGACTATTTATTTTCTGTGGGCACATTCAAATCATTATAATCCTCTCATTTCTTAATGACACTGTTCAAATTTGAGAACAAAAATCATTTCAATAGAGAAGAAAATATTTTTTGGTAATGTTTACTTGAGATGGTATACTGTGAAAATCTTTCTAATGCTTCTAGTATAGAATTTAGAACTACATTATAAGCATATGCAAAAACAAAAGCATTTGGATTAAGCATATTGATCAGATATGCTAATCGACGGTTCATTTGTTCTTTCTGTTGTTGTTTTTTCTGACAGCACATCATATTCATCTGATCGCTTATCTACCATCCTAACTTCTTTCTGCTATAATTCAATTTGACTTCACACGATAAAAATTATTTTATCCA